TTTTTTGTTACAAAGTTTCTCTATAGTTTTGGAGCCTGTCTTGAAACAAGCTCTTGTAGACCAGGCTGGTCTCGAACTCACAGAGACCCACCTGTCTCTGCCTCCAAGTGCTGGGATTAAAGGCGTGCACCACCAATGCCCCCTGACTCCCAGTCATGGTTTTAAGGAAAAAGAGTCTGAAGGAGTTCCAAGTCACTCTCTGGTTTTTGTTTCAAGCTCTTTTTCTTACTTTCGTGGTTCTTCTCAGCACTGGGTTTAACATTCCACCTTTGCCTTTTTCTATCATATTCTAAACATGGAGCAAAGTCCCTCTCTTGACAACTTGCAAAATCGGCTTCATCTCTGTCTCTAGCTACATTGACCTAACATTTCTTTCCATGCAGGAAGAGTTAGAGTTCAGGTAGTTCAGGAAGGCTCTGGTTGAGAATACACCGTCATCCTAAACACCTAGTAGAGGTTCCTCAGAGGCATACGCTTCATCTAAGCCACTAAAGAGTCAGAATTCTTGAGGACCCGGGGAACTTTTGTTTAGGACAGCCTCCACCCTAGGCCGACAAAATGCTGATGGCATCTTGAGAAATCATCTTGTTGGGAGTGGATCTAGGCAGTATGCTTTGCCGGAACTAGTCAAAGCTTGTGGTTTGGTTGAAGCTACCTCTCTGTGATAGGGGAGGTTAGGAGCACAGAGTCAGAAACCTCCAACCATGGTTCAGGTTGGTGCCTTGCTTTCCCCAGCCCTTCAGCTTTCACAAATACACACGGAAACAGCAAAATCAATCCCGTGAAAGCAGTAGTGACATCCAATGGATGGCGCGAACAAAGGCGGCTGATGGGTGGGGAGGTAGAAACACGAAAGTAACCCTATGGAGTGTCTTGACTCTGTTTAAATAAGGGCATCATTAGCCTGATTCTTCTGGGGGAAAAAATGGGTAAGAGGAGTTTCCATGCCTTCACAGGCTGAATGGAAAAGAAAGAGGTCTAGCATACCAGAGGTGGCCGCTGGAGAGGACTGCACTGCTTGGGGAAATTGTGAAAAAGACAGTAGGCTTGGAGGCGTGACACGGAGAGTGTATGACTTGGTGGACCTCCAGGCAGCAATGATACCAGGTAGACTATCCACTTATGAGTGCAGTAAAAACCACTTGAAAGACCCAGAAGGATTACAAAGTTGCCCGTAACAGCTGGGAACCGTTCACTATCTTTATAGGTATTCAAAAGTGTTTGAGGTAGAAGACTTGACAAGAAACTAAATATCCCATGTGAGCAAGCATGTCTTACTAAGAAATTCAGATTGCATGGACGGCTCGTGTGTTTCCTTAACTTTTGCATCAAGTTTTAAGGTTAGGTGCTAAGTCTTTCTCACCCCCTGTGTCTCGTATAAGCACGAGCTCTCGTCCTGGTGGAATGCTGTGGAGACTGCTAAAAGTGCCTTCCTCGTCCATATCTTCTTAAGGCATCTAGACCTGGTTTTACTTTTCTGGCACGTTTTTCAAATGTCACTGAACTATACTCTTTGTATTATGAACTCAGCCAGTTGAGAGTGTCCGGTCTGCATTTTAATTAATTTCTACAAACCGGCAACTATTATTATACCACATGACATAGATTTAGAACACCCCGGCATGCCCAGTTGCTTCCTATGCTCCTCAGTAATCCTCCCCCATTCCAATCTTCAGACCCAGGCAACTGCTGATGTCCTATATATGTCTTTTCCATTTTTCAACTCTTCCAGAGTTTTACATTAAAGAATCATATCATGTCTGCTGTATTTCATTGCACATATGTTTGACATTAACAGGTAGTGAAAGTTTGTTGTTTTCATTGCTGTGTAGTACTCCACTATTAAAGAATTATTGCTATTTTTGTTCTATCACCGAAGAGCCTTCAGGTTATTTATAATTTATTTTTGTGAAAAATTCTTCCACAACCGTTTGCATGTTGGTCTCCGTGTGGATATGTTTTTCATTTATTTCGGGTAGATATCTAAGATTAGAATTGTGGGGCCATCTGGTCTTCATTAATTGAAGCACCTTAAACAAGGATTAATAAGTAAAAGCCTGAAAGTAAGCTGTGTGGAGCTGGGACTTGTGACTGGGGCTATGGGAGAAAATTCCCGAAAAAGAAAGATTACTGTGAAGAGAGACAAAACCACACAGAGATAAATAAATTCACCTGCCTTATAATTTGGACCTCAGTGTTCAGAACGCCTAAGCATTTTAGCCAGCGCAGGTTTTTCTCAATTGTAATTGTAGTTCACACTGACCACAGCATATGAGGTTGGCATGTGTGAGCGGGGTCCAGGGGAGCTACATGTGGGAATAGCCTCCAGAAATGCCCACTTTTAGGGAGGCATTAGATTTAGTCAGGATGAGAATTTGCCTTTAACAAAACACTCCACTTAGAAAGTTCAACTGAAGAATTCAACTCTTAGAATGTACAATACAGTTTGTATTTATTTCACTTGGTCTATGCAAAGGCCATTCTGAGTATTTGTGTCTTCTTGAAGTAGGAAATTGTGCAGATAAAATTTAGGGGCGTGCAATTATGAATGAAACAGAGAGGCTGGTAGTAATGGGAATTGTTATTGCAGAATACATTCACAAGCCAAACTGCATCTTCTTGATCAAATCCCATTAAGTAATAGTAAAGAAACTTACACTTTTTCTTTGCGCAGAGGTATAAAAGCCAGCACTCCTCTCCCCAACCCCTGTCCCACCCTGGACCCTTCCAGTACTTTGTGCTATAGTCCTAGTAGCCTCTTTCTGCTTTCCTGTAACATGTATTCGATTTTCTACTTCCCCCTACACCCCCTCCCCCACACATACACATGCACACACATACACACATATATGCAATACACACCATACACACAATACACATGCATATATACACATACACACATATATGCAATACACACACCACACACACCACACATAAACATATACACATGCACACACACATATACAATACACACACCACCCATACATGCACACACAACACACACCCACGTTGTTCCAGCACAACTCCAAATGCTGGCACTCTTTCCTGCCTTCTCTGGATCAGAAAGAAGAGAGAGGGAGAAAGGGGAAGGAAAGGATGCTGATGGCTGCAGGCAGCTGAAAGCATCTTGAGACTGTAGGAATTTAGTTGGTTTTGGAAATTACGTGCCTACATTTTATTCTTATAAAGCGGTGATGTGGAGAAGGTAGTTGGGGTGTGAGTTGGGAGATCCCATTCACTCTCTGCTAAAAGATAAGCAGGAATCCCAGAGACATGTCTTCATTGAAATGTGAACTGTGGAAAGATACTTTGACTTGCCATTGGGATTATTTTAAAGCCCCGGTCCAGTGGACAGAATCCTTCCCACTGCATATATACACACACAAAAGTTTAGGGGTTCAAGTGTTTATGACACTCTCCCTTATGATTGCTACGAAAAGCATATACTTAGCTCAGTGACTCAAACTGGCGATGATTTCCTAAGGGACAGAGGTGAGGATGGTATAGAGGGTTCAAGTTAACCAGGTCATTGGTGTAACTTATTCACTGGACTTTCTCACAGAATTTCCAGCACCTATTCTCTCATGATTAACAGTAACCATTGTTACTATTTGGTTCATCGGTTTTCTGAGTGCTTTTTTTTTTTTTCAGTTCGAGGTCGATTTCTAACACGGCTATATTTCTAAACACCTTGTTATGCTAAGTTCTTCCTACCTGAGCGCGGCCATTGAATTAGATAATTTTAGAGAATGTCTCTTAGCTGCCTTCAAACTACTTCCATGCCCAAACACCACCCCAGTCACCACATCACCACACACACACACACACACACACACACACACACACACACACCTATATACATTTCCTGTAAAAATTGGCCTTTCTTTTTGGTGCCGGAGTGGTTGCCTTAATTTTTTTAACCTTCTTTAGTTGATGCTAACTTCCTCTACATGCTCCTTATCTCTGCAATAATCTGCAGGGTTTTTTTTTCCCCCACTGGAAAGAAAAGAATAATTTTCATTCTTCCAACGCTACTTGGGTCAAGATCTTGAGAGGCATTATTCTGGATTATTTGGTTAAAAGGCAGGTTCATTTGAGTCATTTTTTTTTAGAGAGACAACTCCTTTAAATGCTCTTTTTGGAAAAGATTTCTATTTAGACAGACAGTCAAATGGAAACCCTGTTTTTATTGAGACACTAAGGAACAAAGTGACTGCTGGTCCACTGGGGTTTTCATCACTTACAGGTTGCTCTGGTATGATATAGCTCAGCCCCAGGGACTTGAAGCCTGGGAATTATCATGTGTCAGAGTGAGATGCTAAGCCCAGGTCACCGGATTATTGCTTTTGGGAGGTGACATGAGCTCTGTCAAGGTGTGAGTGATTTGTCGCTTCATAGTCTCTCTGATATTAAATTTTGAGGATTGGGTTCAAGTTTGTACTTTGGGGGCCATCTATCCTTATTTGTCATGTAAAAGGGAGTGCATGAAACCACCATGCGATGGGAGATGGTGAGGTGCTTTGTTTGTTTATTTGTTTGTTTGTTTTGTCTCTTTTTTTTTTAAAAAAAAATCACCAAGATATATCTAGACCAGGCTGGGTAAAAATTAAGACACAGGTGATTCTAGTAAACAATCAGATGGCTTAATAAGCCTTACTAATATTATTCAAGGGACTATACACCCCCAAATGGCAAAGCATAGGCAGGACATTTCTTTTGCACCCTTCCTCATCTTATGTCATAGGAATACCAATGAGACTCCTTCATTCTCCACCTCCCATTTCCTAGTGCCAGATCTGTAAGCGCTTAGCCAACCAAGCTGGGACTTGCAGAAGAACTGAAAAGGAAGAAGTAACCGGATGTCTTGGGCTTTCTTTCCACTCCGGTCTCTTCTCTTCTCCTGACACCAGCTCATTACTAGACGTAGGCACTAGACGTGACAGTCAACTACATCTGAACTGAGCAGAGAGGAGGTAGTGAAGGCAGAGAGTGCAGGAGACATGTCTCAAAGGGAGCCTCAGTCATCTAATCAGACTTTAATTTCCATCACCAATGACACAGAAACCTCCAGCTCTGTCGTCTCCAACGATACCACACATAAAGGATGGACCGGAGACAACTCTCCAGGAACAGAAGCACTGTGTGGCATCTACATCACTTATGCTGTGATCATTTCAGTGGGCATCCTCGGAAATGCCATCCTCATCAAAGTCTTTTTCAAGACTAAATCCATGCAAACAGTTCCAAATATTTTCATCACCAGCCTGGCGTTTGGAGATATACTACTTCTGCTGACTTGTGTGCCCGTGGATGCAACTCACTACCTGGCAGGAGGATGGCTGTTTGGGAAGCTCGGTTGTAAAGTGCTCTCCTTCATCCGGCTCACTTCGGTCGGTGTGTCCGTGTTCACTCTAACAATTCTCAGCGCTGACAGGTGAGTTGCTTTTCTCTGTTCTATTGCTGGGATGGGAAATTAGGCAAAAAGAAAAAAAAAGAAAAGCTTGTGCTTAGCGTTTACCGGCTACCGGTAAGCTTCTCTTACACGGTGTAAGCTTGGAAAATCCAGTAGCATTTTAAAATAAAAGTTAGAGAAAAAAAATGTCAAAATGCCTTTGTTAGCATCTGAAGAGTGCTTGAAAATATATGCTCTGGGCAGGAGGTTTTTCTTTTCTTTGAAATGTAATTGTTTGCTTGAAAGAATAGCAAACGGTGTTTTTATTTTCCTCCGGCTTATTAAGTCAGGAAAATTGTTGCAGGTGCAAAGAAAAATACTCATGCTTTATACATTAGTGCAGCCTAGTGGTATAACAGAGTCTACATGAAAACACGGGCATAGGTGTGAAATGGACTGTGCGTGCATTAGCATGTACCAGCAGGATGGAAAAGAGAGAAAAATGCATCCAATTTATTTGAAAGTACTCAGATTAGCTAGTAGAGGGAAAACAGTGAGCTTTTCCGTGCCCTGGTAATTGGGTGTCGTGTCATTACTTAGTTCTACCTGTTTTCTCTATAAGCATGGGGTGGCATTTTCATTCTCTGAGAAATAAATTAATTCTGATGGACTTTTAGAGTCCTGTGGCCAGAGCATGTGAAACAGTCTCACTGTCGTGGAGGAGGGGCTCCATGTTAGGGTTGTTTTCAGTTTGAATATTGTGTGTTTAATAAACTATTGCAGAATAAGCATGAAAATGTGAAAAATGTGCCTCTAAATATCAAAGGCAATGCTTTCAAATGTTTCCAAGACTCTATAGGTCATCAGTGCCCAGCAGTTCTGAAAGGAAGGCTCTGGATTCTGGAATCTGACAGGTGCAAAAGCTTAATGTGTCATTGTTATTATCATTATTATTATGATCATCTTGATGAGGTTGTTGCTTTACTGGTCTAGATTCTTGAGGGCAGACTCCTGTAAAGGCTACAGGTTTTAAGGTGTTTTTGTCTGAAGGGGGGGCATCATTGCATGGGCTCTAGCTTCTGATTTTACCCTAATCCCCCATTGATTCATTAGCTTAGGGAAGGAAGTAGCCCTTATCAATGGGAAAAACGTGAGCTCTCTGCTTCTTCCTGGTGGGAATCTAGACAGAGTGAAGACTGCTTACTCATCCAGGCAAGTTAATTCGATTAACATGAGTCACTTACATATATAGAACTTCTTTAGGATACTTACGGCATCATATAGGTGATGAATTATTCTCAAGTCACACAGAGAAACCTGTTGAAAACATTGGTTCTAAATAGGGGGTCTGTCACAAAATTACAGAGTCACAGATCTAGAGTGTCTCATAGGAGTGAATAAAGGACAAGCTGATCAGAATACATAAATCACTGGCTATCTCCTGGGTCTTTGGAAACACAGCCAGTTCTAGTTGGTTCTATATGACTGGAAAGGAGGAAGAACTGTATGATTTCTAAAGTCACACGTGTCGCTGATTCCAACTCTGCTTGTGATTATGTCTTTCTAGATACAAAGCCGTCGTGAAGCCTCTAGAGAGGCAGCCCTCCAATGCTGTTCTGAAGACCTATGCGAAAGCTGGTGGCATCTGGATCATGTCTATGATATTAGCTCTGCCAGAGGCTATATTCTCAGATGTGTACCCTGTCCGAGATGCTAAAAGAAATGTGACCATTGAATCGTGTAACTCCTATGCTGCGTCTGAGAGGCTCATGCGGGAAATACATTCTCTGTTGTGTTTCTTAGTGTTCTATATTATCCCGCTCTCAATTATCTCTGTCTATTACTCTTTGATTGCCAAGACGCTTTACAAAAGCACCTTGAATATACCAACTGAGGAACAAAGACATGCCCGAAAGCAGGTATGTTATGAATTGTTACTCCTGCAAATACAGCCTGAATTTAGAAGTTAGCCCCCGCACCACCTTTCAGTGAGCTATATTGCATTGATCTGGGTAGAGATCCAGTCCCCAAAGTATCTATCACACACTGAGCAGTGCTGAGCAAGTTATTGGACCTCTCTGAGCCCCTCTGAGTGACACCAGGAGATAAAACTCCCAGCATAGTTCCTGACGGTACTCATGGTGAGGCGATAGGTATTATAGACGGGGTAGCTGAAGTGTGGGAGCAGTAAAAGCCTATCCTATAGGACAGTAGGGGAATCCACATACCGCAAGTTTATAAAGCCAAGCATCATTTGCTTTAGCAAGTATGACAGAGTAGTAGAAAGGCACAGGATGCTGAAACTGGCAAGAGTCATCTGACATTACTCGCTGGAAACGACTTCTCTACAGATGAGCAACCTGAGGTCTGGAGTGGGTGAAATGAAGTGCCCATGGCAAGAGAACAGTGACTCACACACACTAGATTAAGACCATTGAAGGACTGAGGTGTGCTCTCCTTTCATAAATCTGTACAAAATGAAAGGATGGTACCAAATACCGTCCTGTTACATTGGTGGTCAGGGAGGCTTCTATCCTGGAGAAGAGGGAAGTAGTGCCATTTACAGAGAGGGGAGAGGGAGAGAGGGAGAGAGGGAGGAGGGAGGAGGGAGGAGGGAGGAGGGAGGGCAAGAACTGTGCCTTTTGTGTAATCTATCAGTTGACTAGCTGAAGCTATGTAAGCGATGTGCTTGGTGTCCATGTGATCAGTTATCTTTGCTCTGTCTGAGCCTCTATTTTCTGGGGTGCATCTTGTATATTAACAGATGTGAATAGGAGAATTCTCACAGATGATGGATGGTCCATTTTGTTTTTATTCCTCTCTGACTACATGATTTTAATCCCTATAGATTAAAAGCAACTTTAGTACCAACCTGACAACTTTCCTAAACTGCAGAAGACTGCTCTCGCCTGTCTGTCAGCCTCTGCGGAGCTGCTCTGAATAGTATCACTCTCTCCTTTTAGTGAAATTAAACCACTGGGGATTCCACAGCACTGCTTGAGTTAACTAGAGTATCTCAACATCTGAGGATGGTGGGAGGCCTCAGAATGAGAGTTAATGAGACCAAGATCACAGGTTACCATGCCAATTAACTTGTCATATTCTATCTCCACAGGCAGACTTCCCATGTGTCCCAGCCAGTTAGCTCATAAGCATGTGTTCGAGGGGAGGCTGGCTTGTTAACTGTAAATTCCTATGTCAATCTAGAGGCTGTTTTTTTTTTTTTAATCTCTGCCAGCTAAATGGATATTTTTGTGTGTGTGTGCAATTTTCTCCCCATACAGATCGAATCCCGGAAGAGAATTGCCAGAACGGTTTTGGTGCTGGTGGCTCTGTTCGCTCTCTGCTGGCTGCCGAATCACCTCCTGTATCTCTACCACTCGTTCGCTTACAAAAGCTATGACGAGCCCTCGAATGTCCCTTTCATCGTCACCGTTTTCTCGCGAGTGCTGGCTTTCAGTAATTCCTGTGTGAACCCCTTCGCTCTCTACTGGCTCAGCAAGACCTTCCAGGATCACTTTAAAGCTCAGCTCTGCTGCTTCAAGGCAGAGCAGACTGAGCCTTCTCTTGGTGACACCCCTCTTAATGATCTCACTGTGATAGGGCCAGTCCCAGGGACTGGGAGCACTCATGTGTCTGACATTAGTGTGACCCTGGTCAGTGGCTGTGGCGTGAAGAAGGCAGAGGATAAGGTTTAGCTTTTCCACTAAGGAAAGAAAAGGTGGTTTCTTAGTCTCATTGCGTGTATCCAGCTTTAAGCTGGGCATAGTATGGTGCCTGGGTTTTTGTTGTTCAGGAGTTATTTTGAAGTGTTCAGAATGACTTGTCCCTGAGAGTAAACGACAAACCATCATTTCCTTCAGGGTGAAAACAGTAATGCCATTTGGGGCTTTCTAAACACAGCGAAGCCCAGCAAGTCGAGAAAAGCAGGTTTAGAAACGGCAGCCAACTGTGAAGAACGCTGTATATAGGAGGGATGGTAAATGAACAAGAGAAATGTTGAAAAATCTAATTGGATCCCTCCTGATGTTCCTCACTCACTTGTACTCGTGTGGTTGTCATAAAATTAGTGGTTGTGCTTACTGTGTGCCGTAAATCTAGAGCTTCTACTCTGTAAATGAGGAGATCAAAAAGAGATAAAGCATCTCTCGTGGTGTTTTATGAAACACACATATATGTATATATTACAGAGTTACCACTCTCTTCCTCCAGTCACCATTCCATCATAAGAACTCTTGCAATTGAAATGAAAATGTTTGAGAGTCGGAGGGTGCTTCCCTTACTGGGTCAACACTTCCTGGCTTAGTGTATTGTACTGCCATTGCTTAATAACGAGGCAGGGCCATTTCTCACAAACATTGTGAAGGATTTGTCTTACTAATAGGCAGAACAGGGGCCACCATGTCAGTGTGGTGTGACCATGGGCCCTAGAGGAAGATTCCTGTCCAGGTTTCTAAGCTGTCATTGACTGAAATGCCGTCCTCAGAGGAAACGCATTTTATCTGGGTGAGCAGTGCCCTCTCTCTACAAACGTGCAGAACTGCCACTCTGGATCTCCATCACCTGGCTGTGCGAGCATCATCGCATCCCACCTGCTTGATATTACTCCACTTGATGGGTGCCGAGTCCGAGAGCTCAGCTCTGCTTTTGGAGGTCAGAGAGTAAGCTCTGACTTTCTAGCCTCTGCTCTAACTTGCTAACACAAATAAGCTTGTCACTCACTGTAATTGGGGAAAAAAACCTTGTAGCCAGTAGATCTGTCAGATTTAAATTTGTGCTTTCAGAAAATGTATTCTTGATGTAAACTAGAGTTTATCTTTGGCACTATAGTTACATTGTATTTTTAAAAACTTGATTTATTTTAGAGTGTTTCTGGTATTTTTGAGCTTTAAATGGCTTGTGCCGTGGTGAACTTCTGCTAACTATGTGGCTCAGAAGGGGGTGGGTGGGGCATATATTAACCCTGGGCTTGAAACGTCCTTAAATTTGGCTTACATTGGGGGTGCTAATATCGCATTAACATCGCTTTAAAGTGAGCAAAATTGTTGTAAAAACATCTGAGGTGAGCAAATAAATATGAAATAAAGTTTAAATGGTTTCATGTAACTTTATATTCTAAAAATAATGACAATATAAGCGTACATTTTAATTCCAGGACTTACTATTTTTTAAATCATAGAAGCATACATTATTTCCTTACTTTCCTTAATTATAAAAACCTTATACATTTACTCTCTTGAGCGTAACACTTGAGAAAGAACTTTGTAAATGTACCAGATTGTGGAGAGAGAGAGAGAGAGAGAGAGAGAGAGAGAGAGAGAGAGAGAGAACCCAGCACTGAAGGGTGCTTCCTGCACACGCATGGGGACCAGATTTTGGATTTCAGCACACACAGACCAGATGTGATCCTGTGAATACATGTGCAATCACAACACCAGCATAGGTCGGGGCTGAGACAACGGGATCCCTGGTGCTTGCTGGCTCCCGGCCCAGCTGAAAACAAACAACAACAAAACAGAACCCCCCACAATCCATAAGAAGATCTGGGTTCAGCAAGAGACCTTCCCTCCAATGGAATAAGGCAGAAAGTGATAAAGGAAAATACACGACACTCTCCTTGAGACTCCATGCATGTGCACCCGCATATGCACACCACATCCATACTTCATATAACGTATACTCTCATACACAGACTCAATAAATAATTAGTACCCTAATTTTAAAAAGCACCAGGCTACTCAAGCCAAGAGAGTGTTTTCATGTTTCATAAAACTACAGCTCTGCATGAGTTAGTGATGAAATATGGATAAAACAGCTTCTTAGCTTCCTAGCTATCAGTTCCTTCCCCTTTCATAGCTAGAAAATTAGGGTTAAAATGCCCAGTCTGTCTTGGGGAGAATAACTGGTTTTACCTCTTGTGGCTAACCTTACAGGTGGCCATAATATCCACAATTACATTCATATTGCTTATTGTTGTGCAAGCAATTTAATTTCTTTAGTGATGGTTCTAGATTGGGACAGATATGGACACATGCAAAACAAATTGTGAATATGTCCTAAATTTGTTCATAGTCTTCCCCGGCTTAAGACTGAGGAAACAGTATTCTGTGAAGTATGGAGACAGTCACAAAGGTATGTACAACCAAAACACGTTCTGAGGGTACATCTTCCTCAGTGAAATGAAAAGTGTCCCAATCTAAGAATGGACACCTCCTGGAAGTAACAAATTTAGTTTTAAAGAATTTCTGCAGTTCATATTATCTTATATTTAAGATTCATCAACACTTTTGTCAGAAGGACCCCCCCCCCCACAAAACTAAATTTAGAGATTACAAGATGTGGGGACAAGAACACACTCAAACAAGAGGCCATTCATATACATAAATATGAATATGCCTAGACATATTATATATACATATATATGTGTGTGTGTGTGTTTACAATTAATAAAGACACAGAGATAGATATTGGTGTTTAACTTGAAGGTCAAGCAAAACAGCCAAGCCACTAGACGGCTCTTACCTCTTTGAAATCTTCAGACCAAGTGAGAGTGAGATCCTGTCTCATCTAGTCTTATATTCCTCTCTAGTGCTGGGATTAAAGGTGTGCACCACCACCTGGCCTCTATGGCTAACTAGTGTGGCTGCTGGGATTAAAGGCGTGCACCACCACTGCCTAGTTTGTATGGCTGACTAGTGTGGCTGCTTTGCCCTGACCTTCAGGCAAGCTTTATTTATTAAAGTACAAATGAAATATCACTAAAGTGTATCTATATACATATACACATACACACACATCTTAGTATAGTTCTTTAACTTTTCCAGAAAGTTTGTAGCAAGGTGGGGGAACTTGTGCCCAGAAGGCCCTTGTCATGCCTTTTACCTTGTATAGGTGTCTGCTTTCATTCTACTCGGATGCTGCATCTGTTTGTACTCAAACTTGACGGGATAAGCTTATAGTGGTAGGCAAATCTAGTACATAATGCAATGCTTCCTTGGGCTATGTCGTCCACAGGCTTTCAGGAAGCTTTTGGGCAAAGGTGACCTGGAACCTAGACATAAGGATTTTTTTTACCCAATTTCCTGTAGGGGAGTGTGAGGGCACTTCAGGCATTAGGAGTGTGTGGCATGTGCAGTAATGATCTCTACTGTGTTGTGAACATACTCCAGAATGAAATGGAAGCCCAATAGCCCATTAGTCAAAAGAGCTGCTTTATATCTCAGATCGAAGCAAGAATTTAGTAATGTTTACATGAACCTAGCAAAATCCATACTATGCATATGAATTCAGTTCTCCAATAGCTCTACAAAAAACAAGAACCTCATAAAAATAAATATATTTGGAAACAAAAAAGTAGCGTTTGAAAACCACCATTAAGGCTGAAATCAGATTCACAGTCTGTAAGGAGCCAGGGTGTTCAAGAACCCACCTCATCCAGTGTATTTACAAACAAAGGTGATTGGAATCGAAGTAACTTCTGGAAAGCGTTTTCCTACTCTCAAGTCTGGGTTATAATACAGATGTTACCGGGTGGTGACGGTGGCGGCTGCAATGGCGGTAGCGCACGCCTTTAATCCCAGTACTTGAGAGGCAGGAGCAGGCGGATCTCTGTGAGTTCGAGGCCAGCCTGCTCTACATAGAGCTTGTTCTAGGACAGGCTCCAAAGCTACAGATGAAACCCTGTCTCAAAAAATAAAATAAAATAAAAAATAAAAATAATATAGATGTTTACACATATATGTTATGCCCAAATCTGTGGGGTCCCCACAAAAGCCAACAAAGGAGATCAAGTACCATATGTAAAAACAGAGAGCCTTTATTTTAATCAAGTTTGCAAACTCGGTCTCTCTGCACTTCGAACGTATTGGTATATCCGGAGAGCCCCAAGCTCAATTAGAATAGGGTTTTTATAGTAGTACAGGTGGGGGTGAGGGGCTCTGAGGTTCAGGGCCCCTGATTGGTTGACATTTGTCTAGGGGTGTCCTCTTGAGGTGCGCTGACAGGTGTCTCTATCTACAGCTCTCAGAATGCCAGGCATTTCCTTTGAATGGTCTGCTTTTGGGTGGGGGTCGGGCAATCTTTGGCCTGGCCTGTGGTTCCTCTTGCAACCAGGCGTTGTCTCTGGATAAACTACTGACGCTCCAGACTCTATTTAAACTCATGGATGGCCAGAGTCCCAGGTGGTAATGGTTGGAAGTAAAGAACTTCTTTTGGGTGACCTGCCCAGACTTAGCTTATCATGGCTGGCCCCCACAATACAGAGTTCGTTGCCACCTCTAATGAATTAAAGTTGTACATAGTTAACAGCAACAAATGTTGCAATCCACATAAAAAGAGTTCTTTAGAATTCTCTAGTTTTTTAGTATAAAAGGAGCTTTAAAACAAAATAATCGCTCAGTATCTAGTACTTCTATTATTGTTTGCCAACCATAATTGGGTCTCTCCCTTGATCTGCGCCTGTCTTCCTGACTGCCTGTCCCAGAACCTCCCTCAGTACCTAGCAATTAATAGTTCAGTAAATACCTGCCCCCCCTTTTTTTAAAAGTGAGGAACCCCTCACTTTTGAAGATGCATAGAATATTTGGGTAAAAAGTTCTGCTTAGAGCAGTTAGTGAGCTGTCTAACACACGAAGAAATGGAGCCACATGGTCCAGGTGGTATTTATCTCTACATGGGGATGTTAACAGTCAAGCTTCAA